GGTTAAGATTAAGAGAGAACATGACAGTAGAGACCCATGAGGTAACCAAGAACCTTCCAAAGCAGGATTTTCTGTGTTCGGCAGGATTTTCTGTGTTCTTCAGTTTGACTTGGGCTAATAAGGAGATTACTAAAGACTCACTCAGCAGGGGAAGTACTGTGAAGTCCCTGGTTTTGGAAATAAATATAAAATTGGAGATCCCCAAACTCTGATGGATAGAGTAACAAATTAGAGATTTCCCATCAAATGGTCGAATTCTGGCTAGTTACAGGGCTCCCTGGGCAGGGAATGTTGGTAATTTCCTTTCCTCCCAATGAACATGTCAGATGGAGGACAGAGTGCAGTGAAATCTCTGGATTGTTTCCTGGCCATAGCAAGACTCTAGAGAATTGTCCATGAGTGAAGGAGCAGGACAAGAGTCAGTTAACCCATAAAAGGGAAGTTTCCAAGAGCTCTGGGTATGAGGCCAAACAAACCCGACAACCTGTGAGGAAAAAGCCGAGTGAAGAATGGTGATACCGTATGGCTTGCAGCATACACCTTCTCACAGTGAAGCTGGCTAACTAGCCAGTGTGTCCACTGACTCATTCCATGCTGTAGCTGCCAGCCTGGGCTTTACTACAGTAATTTATACCTGACTCTTTTAAAAAAATAATAGGAAGGTTTCCATCTTTACATATGCTGTTTTTCTTACTCTGCACCTCACCTCCAAGTTTGCTGTTCCCCTTGTGGTGTTGCAGCTTCTTTTCCACCTTTAATTCAGAAAAAAACTGGTTGCAATGGCGACTATGTTTTTCTGAGTAAAACAGAAAAAAAAAAAAAAAAGTTTTCCCAGCTGTTTCCAGAAAATCCAGACACACGAGGAAAATCCAGTAAATTATTAACTCTGTCTTTCCATCTGCAGATAGTGGTGTTTCTGGTTAGGCTTTTTTAATGATATTATTTTTTTATATCCCTAGCCTTCTTCTCCCTCAAGACAAAAGAGAGCCTCTTTGATTTGAAATGCAATGTCATGAGAAGTTTTATGGTGAGTACCTGGATGATTGCTTACTTGTGGTTTTCTGCCTTTTGAATAGGGAAAGATTACTTGGAAGTGAGTTTCCTGTACTACTTCCCTGTGACAGCAACTTACTGGCAAAAAATGACAGAGTTTATGCATTGGTTACTCTTTGCAGAACACTGATTTTAATATACTCCTTTTTTATTTTTCCTTTCCCCCCCCCCCCCCTTCTTTATGGGGTGGTATAGTGGGTAGGGTATTTTCAGCTGTGAATTTTTTGACCCAGACAAGTTTGTCTTAGAAAGTGGAGGGGAATAGACTGGTGCCATCTGGCTGGAACAGGCACTGACACAACAATACTCAATCCATGTATCCACTTATGTGCTTCCCTGCTGATGAGAGAAAGCACCCTATGACTCCTGTGTTGTGACAAGAAGCAGGTTTGACCCATGTGTTATAGTCAGAAAACTAGGTTTGATTTGCTGCCCTGCTCCCACTCTGGTGGTCAGGTGTGGGCTTGCTTGACAAGCACATCTTGGCAGCCCTTGACACTGCCTGTTGTACCCATTTTCCTATTTATTGACCTCCTGTTTTCTGCTCAAGACTCTTTGCAAACAAGTAGTCTGCCATGGCTACTTTTTTGCCTAGGGTACCAATTTTGCTACCTGGCATACCCAAACTTGATATTTTCAATACTATGACCTGGGCAATCTCATCTGACAGCATTACTAGAGCACTGTTGGATTTGTAAGGCTCTGCTCCCCCAAATACCCCCAGCAACTGCCTTTGCAGTCTGGCTACTTCTCACACAAATCCCTCTTATCCAAGCTGTGGAATCTAGCTGTCCCTCGTGCTGCTTTCACACTTCTGTCTGCCGCAGCCATCTGAGATTGTCTCCCATTTCCCATGCCCTGCTCAGCCTCAGCCCAGCACCCATGCACATCACCTGCCCGGTGTTGGCTCCCTGCTCCCCATCACTGCCCATGGCTGGGGAATTTGGAGCAGAGGCCACTGCACAGGCTGGACTTGACTGCCATCTTCTGGGGGGTTTTTTTTTTTTTTTTTTTTTTTTTTTTTTTTTTTTTTTTTTTTTGTTGTTGTTGTTGTCGTTGTTGTTGGTTTTTTTTTTGTTTGTTTGGTTGGTTTTTTTGTTTTGTTTTGTTTTGGTTTGTTTTGGTTTGTTTTTTTTAATTTCTGTTTGGGCTGTTTAAACATACATGCTGTGTTCTCATGACTAAATTCTTTAACAATTAAGAGTGCTCTCTAGCTGTGATATGTATCTCATAACTGCTTAGAAAGCTGCCAGGTGTCAGCTTTTTGTGACTTTTTTTTAATATAGCTACCTGGAAATTTATATCAAGTGTTTGGAAAAAAAATACAGATTTCCTTCACAAATGTACTAACCCCACCACTTTTCTCTGCTGATTGCCCATTCAACAGAAATGTTTTAGGATTTAATATGGCCCTTCTGCAGAAAAAAAATGATCAGTGGTGTAAGAAACACCAGTTTGTGCCAATTTCAGGACTCCATCACCCTCCTTTGCAGTGAAGCTAACCAAGAGCTAGACGCCCACATAGCAGAGGCTTGCAGGGCCATCCTGCCACACGCTGGCAAATGCACTCCTTTCCCAGTCCTTCGGCACAGAGCATATTCCTGGCAGCCTAAATGTCTGTGTGACTCAGGCCAGATGTCTGGATAAGAGAGAAAAGGTCAAATTTTTCTCAACACAAATAGGCGGTGGGAAAGCTCCAAACTGGGGTGCAGTGGCTGAATCAGCCACCTAGGTGCCCAGGGCAGGCAATGTGCCTTGCAAGGGACATCACCAGCCCCTGACTCCAGCCCTGCTTTTGCTCCCAGCTTCCTCCTGGCCTGCAGTCTCATGACCTCAGCCTGTCAGGGAAGAGGCAGGCAGAGTGCATCAACTCCTCGGAGACCCAGGCACTGGGTGGTTTCTTTTTCCGCTGCATTAGCCATCTCAGATGGGGCACAGATGGGGAATCTGCAGCCTGTGCCCCCACACCGGCTCCCAGGGCCCCCAGGGTGTCTGACAGATGGGACAAAACCCTGGCGGGGCCAAAACATGTTTGTCATCACAGCTGTGGATGGGGGAGAGGGGTGAAGCTGTTCAGCACATTGCCCAGCCCTGTAGGTGCAATTCAGCCACAGAGGATGGGCACGGAGGAGCTGCATCACAAGGGACCTCTTTGGGACCCTTGCCAGCTGTTTCAGGGGATGGAAAGACAGGTTTTCACCCATCTGTTCCCAGAGGACAAAAACTACTGCACTGGAGTGCTGCTGAGCAGGGCAGGGAGCAGGTCCTGTGCTGCTGCTCCTGGGAAGGATGGTTAAAGACAGCTTGTGGTGCTGGGGAGCAGGTGAGAGGCTTAGGATGGGGAGAGGGGAAGTTGTAGTGAAAGAGCAGAATGCCTTCTGAAATACAGTGTACACCACTGGCACCCAGATGACAGAGACAGTGCAGTCTGCTGCCAGGTGACGTGGGTGTAAAGCAGGGGCAGTACTGTTAGGGTAAACGTGGAGCTGGAAGTGGTGAGAAATAGTGGGTTCAGTCTAGGAGAAGCAGTGCAAACTCTGCATGCCACAGCCCTATTGGGAAGAGTATGGGGAGGTGCTGCTAGATGGAGCCCCCATACAGGTTGGAAGAGCCCAGAGATGGTGCTGCTACCCCTGTCTTATTGCCAAACAGGGAAAGCTTTAGGCCAGGGTGCTTCAAGCGTCATGCCTGGATATACTTTTATCCTATTAGAAATGGATTTTTTTCCCCATGGGCCTGCAGAAAGGCTGAGATTGCCCTGGCAGGCAGATTGAGTGCTGGCAGGAAGGGTGGCTCTAGCACTGAGCTGTGAGGCCAGTGGGGAGCAAGGCAGGGCTAGGCTGTCTCCTCAGCCACTGAGGTGCTGCTCTGTCTGAGCGTGATACACATATGCCAGTGACTTCATGGTGATGCACTTCTACCACCAGCACTGTCCAAAGCCTTTCAGAAGGGCACAGCATTAGAGAACAACCTTGCCTACCACCTAACCCACGGGGTTTTTTTACCCATGGTCAGAAGGAAGCAGACATACAATGTGTTCAGTGATTCCTGGTCCTCAGAGATTGTTCCAGAGAGTCTATCCTCAAGCTTGATTGGTTAAAACCAAAGAAGTTTTTAGCTGTTGCTGAACAAAACATAGATATACTGAACTTACAGAAATTGACATCCTTCTTTATGTAGTCTGCCAGCTACTTATGCAGTTAACTCCTCTAACTGGGCTGATGAGATTTGGGAGTATTTTCTAAAACACAGCTTTTTATAGGGAAACCCCACTTTTACTTAAAAGAACAAAACTCAGAGGTCCTAGTTAGAGAAATTCTAATGATGTGGCTGAGTGCTCTGAAACCTGACGATGCAAGAGAGTTTCCAGCGAACTGTGAAAAAATAAACAAAAACAGAAAATCAGTTTCGGGTGCTCAGATGGGGTTACTTCAGAGACATCTGGGCTCTTCTGCTTTTTGAAGGCAAACTGCGAGGGAAGCCCCTTTCCAAGGCTGGAAAAGGCTTCTGCTTTTTTTTTTTTTTTTTTTTTTTTTTTTTTTTTTTTTTTTTTTTTTTTTTTTTTTTTTTTTCCCTTCCTCTCCCAACAACTGCGAGCCGCACTGAGGGGATTTAAGAGCAGAGTACGGCATGTCCCAGCACCCGCGGGCTTTGGTCGTGTTCCTGCCCAGCGCTGCTGCTGCGGGCACGCGGTCTGGGTTGTGCCTTTCACTCTATTGCTTTGCTAATCCTGAAATATATATATATATGTATTTATTTATTTAAAAATTTATTATTTATTTATTTAAAAATCTTTTCAAGGAGCACGTGGAGCACTGGGCTCGCCTCCCCTCCCCGGCCCTCCCTTCAAACTTCACCAAATCCAGTGCCGCCGCGCTGCCGCCTCCGCTGCGGGCCGGGGGCCACCACGGCACGGCACGGAACAGCCCGGCTCGGCGCGGCTGGACTCGGCGAGGCCCGGCGGGAGGGCGGCTGCGATCCGCCGCGGCCGGCGATGGGAGATGGAGGGAGCTGGCGGTGCGGTAAGGGGCGGCGTGTGCCCGTGCGGGTGCGGGGGTTGCGCTCAGCCGGAGGCACTTTTTCCCAATTACTTTTCCATTTTTTCTTTCCCTCTAGTTCTTTTTTCTTCTTTCTATTTTCTTTTTGTTACACTTTCTCTTTCCTTTCTTCCTTCTTCCCCTATCCCTTTTCCTCTTTCCTTTTATTGTTTTCCTTTTCCCCCCTTTTTTCTTTTTTTTTTTTTTTTTTTTTTTTAATCCTTTTCACAGTGCCCTAAGAGAAAAAAGGTCGGAGCCTACTTCTGTGCTCGTAACTAGATCCCGAGAGACACCAGCTGCAGCAGGGAAGCTGCACTCGGGGCTGGGACCCCGAGCCTGCTCGTCGTGCACTTCGTTTTGCTTGTGTCTCCAAGTAACTTGTCTGTCTGTCACATCAGCACTGTTGCTGCACTGGCAAGCTCTCTTAATCTAGCCAAATTCTTGAATTAAACAAGACGTTGTCAGAAGAGCGTTTGGCTGAGAAGTAGCATTGCACTTTCAGGGCAAGAGTGGGGTTGAGATGATTTCACCAAAAGTATAAAACCGTAGAATATTAAACTACCCAGGCATGCTCCTGTGCAGCTGAGGTGCTATCTTCATCTTTGGTCCCGGGGAGTGCAGCTACACTTCTCAGTGGGAGCATAAACGTATATTTGAAATGAGTTTGAACTTCACACAAACCCACTGAAGTTGCGAGCTCCCATATAGGTGAGTATTTCTGTGCTATAAACATCAATTACCTGTCTGCCACAGGGTCCAGTTAGTATATTGTCAGGCAAAGCTACATGTATATTATTGAAGTGCTTTGGGTGTGTAATAGGCAACTGCAAGTACTCTTAGTTTTGTAGCTTCAGTCACACTTTAATTCTGTCTGTGCATAGGGGCATTAACTCAGAATGTCAAATGCAGTATTTGTAATGAAACTGGAGGTTGCACACCCAGTGTTTGAAGCAATTCTAATAGACTGCTGCGAGTCATCCAAGCCTTTCTGGTTTAGCTAGTAGAAAGAAGCCTCTTTCTACTCCAAATGCTTTTTCATCAGTCATATCCTTAGTTGATGTGTTTCAGCAGATGTTACCAGTTTAATGTACAGTGAATCTGTCCTAGCTCTGTTGGTTTACACAGACAGAGAGTTTGGGGCATACTTATGGGAGAGAGGTGAAGTTAACCATGTAGGAGATCCTGTTCAAATGACCCCATTCAATTAGAGCCTTGGCTCATTGGGGAGTGTGAGAACATCCTTTGTGGTAGTGGTGATGATTAAAAAAAAATCCAGGAAACCTACATGCTGCTGCTTTCAAAACTTGAAACAAGTTTTGAAACAAAAAAGCTAGGACTTCTTAATCCGCACAGAAAATTCTTGCATAACTGACCTCTGTGAGAGTGGTTCTCTTGAGCTATTAGTGCTTGAGTGGATTGTTTGATTTACTATTTCCAATTTCCAGTTTTCAATTTTCAGTTTGATCTCTGTGCTGTCAAAGTGAGAAGGAAAAGAGCAGTGAGGATCTTAACTAACGTGCTAGCGGCTTTTTTTCCCCAGCAAATCCTTTACTGTTGTCAAGGTACACAGATGAAGGACATGGATGTTGTTTAGAGTACTTCTCCTCCCTGCCTCCAGACCAACACAGTCTTTCTATTCTTGCCCATCACACCAGGAAGCTCTGGCAATTGATTTTGCAGCTTTGATATAAGACATGGTTTGTGGTTTGATTCTTGTAGGCTGAGAGGTAGTCTCTCTGCAAGAGTGCCATGAAGCATCTCTGCAGGCACTTGTCTCCATGCATGTGTTCTGAGATGAGTGCTGGAAGATTCAGCATTTAGGCAGTACAAGTTGTACACCACACAAGGCCACCAGTACTAAGTAAGGGTGCTTGGGCCATGGCTGGTAGAAACAGTCTTTGTGCTTGCACAGTAGGTGATTTCTTGAAACCATCCCTGCTTCATGGAGAGACAGGCAGGCAGACCTGAGGGCCTGAGTTATTTTTCTCAGGCATGTGTTTCTCTGAGGTTTGTGTTTCTCTTTTGAGAACGTCTGTTTGCTTGCAATGGTCTTGAGAGAGAGCAAGAGGCTGGGGTACTGCTGGGTGCTGATTTAAATGTGATTTAGAGGTAGCACAATGGTAGTGGCCTAGTGAAGGGAGCCCAAGAAAGGGAGGGAGGGGGTAGTGTCAGCATAGTATTAGGTGGGTCCCCAGGGTGCTGGGAAGCCATTTGCCAAGCTGTTGTTCTTCAGCTGAGGGTGGACAAACCTGTGAACTGCTGCTAGAACTCAAAGATTGAGGCTGTCAGAGTATCCTGCTCCAGATCAACTCTGCCTTGGGAGTGCTGAGGATCCCCAGGGTGCAGCAGCTGTTAAGAGTTGTTTGGTGAGAGTCTTGCTGAGCTTACCCAGCAAAGGCGGGACTAATGTTCCTGGGCTCAGCAGGGACATATGCCACCCACCACCCTTGAAGGGACATTCCCTTGCAAATGGTCCCTGATGGAGAGCTGGCTTCTGGTGAAGCAGGGATTTCTCGATCTGCCACCTCTTGATCTGATTTCTTGATCTGCCACCAAGACCTGCTTTGTGGCCTGGATGGTTCATTGCATCCTAGTGTGTTGTCAAATTGCATGTGGCTCCTTCCTCTCTAAGTTTGGCTGAGAAGGGGGATGTGTGCTAGGGAGCTTCTCTGGGCAGTGACTGCAAAGTGGGTCTGCAGATAAACAAATTTAGGTCTTGTGCAATTTGTGTCCTGAGCTTCTGACTATCTTCCTAAATGGATTGATGCCCATCAAACCCCATGATCACAAAGACTATTTCTAGTCCTTATTTTCTTGTTTGTAGTGATGTGAAATTGGGGCGGGGGAGGGGTGTATTAGAAATAATTTTCTTCTGTTAGATGAAAGAGCTCGAGGTGTCTGTCTCACACTTTCATTCTGGATGTAGGTGTATGTAAGTGTTCCATTCCTCTCAGGAATGGCACTGTTTGAATTATCCTTCTGCAGTATGTTTCCAGATACTTTCTCTGAGTGCAGCTCCTCCTTGCTCTGAGATGTTTCTTGCTGTTTTGTCAGCTTGTGTTCGAGACCACAGACTCCTGTGGTGCTAATGCATCCGAACGTTTATTCTCTTCATTACAGAGATGAGCAAGGCAGGTTTCGGATGGTGCTTAAAAGCAGGGTGGGGTGAGAGCTAGCCCTCTGGGTGCGGGCTTGGTTGCTACAGGGTTGAATCAGGAGTCAGAGGAGTTGGATATTACCTGGCCATTGAAGCTTGAATGGCTTCTGACTTGACTGTACTTCCTGGATGCTGTAAGTAAAAAAACCTGTTTGGGCACTGGATCAGGCTGTCCATCAGAGTGTGAGCACTGAATTTCCACCTCCACTGAGTACCTCAGCCACCAGTGATGGCTGTGGGAAATGTGTGCCTCCCTTTGCTAACTGCACAGAAGATTTTCACTATTGCAACTTCTGGGCTAAGCCAAAGGAAACCAGGCTGGAGCTGGCTTCTAAAGATGGCCTGCCAGGGCAGAAACACAGCGGTCACTGCTGTGCTTGCTGAGCAACTTTTTGCTGCCTGGTGAAAGGACTTTCTTGCACAGGACTTGGTGGTCATGATGGGTCCCTTCCAACTCAGCTTATTTTATGATTCTATGACTGAAAGGAGGCCCTTGTCTTGAAACTGTGATGCAGTAGTTTGGGAGCAGTAAGAAAACAACAGCACAGATTACATAATACAAGCCTCCCTTTTTGCAGAAGCCACGAATGGGGCTTGCTTTCACTTCTTGGAGTGAAATGACACAGTGGAAGATGTGGCTTAAAGTGTATTCATTTTTTTTACAACAGTTTTCAAATGGGAAGTGTCAGTTGAGTAATAACTGCATCTCCCAGGCTGAATGAATGCAAAGTGTGATGGAAAGATGCACTTAGGCCTGGGATATATCTGCATGACTGTGCTACCAGAAGAATGCTTCCCAGGAAAGCCCTGTTCTCAAGAGGAAACAAATTCTAGTACCAGCAAGTTCTGATTGTTGTCAGCTGTCTTGTCTGTGAACTTGCTGTGACTTAATGAGATAAAAAGAAGAGGTATTAACTTCCTCACTAGTGGGACATGAGTGCCAGCTGGCCTGTGTTGTGCTGCTTGTGGGGGATATAACATCTTTAATGTCTTCTGCCTTCTTGCCACAGCTGGAACTGCCTGTCGGCTCCTGACCACTTGCAGAGCCATAGCTGCCCAACAATGTTGGCAGTCCTTAAGGTGCACTTTCTTAGCAAGCATACGGTCTTGCAAGAATATTTTCAGTCCCCCAGTGCCTACTCCTCAGGAGAAATTGTTGATGTGTTTTCTCACTTCTGCCTTAATTGTACCAGACATAAGATGGCTCAGATCAAACTTCAAATTTCTGTTCCAAAAAACTTCTCTTAAATCTAGGTAAGGCTCAGAAAAAACTGCTGAGGTGAAAGCTGTAAAATTAATTTAAATATGATAGGAAATAATCATGCAGAATCAGTAAGCTATGTCTAAGATACATACCCCTTTTTGCATACTCTGTTACTGTGTTGTTAGTTCTACAGTTTGCACTTGCTGCAGAGAAAATGCACGTTTTTACACTTTCGTAAATGCTAATTCTTCCGGTGTAGAGTGGTCTGATGGCTGGTTGTGGGGTGTTTTGTATTTGTTGGTTTGTGTTTTTTTGTTTTTTTATTTTTAAACCATTCACTGAAATGGAATATTTTCATCACTTGGGGAGACTGCCTTAAACTATTTATAACTTTGATTTGAAAAATGAAGATGAGCTCTCCCAATACCCTGTCCCTCCATCCATAAAAGCAGTGTATATTTAGCTGGACATAAAGAATGTACAGCACATGGCAAAGGATGCTGTCTGTAAAGTTTCAAGGGACAGCAGATGTTGGCTAGGGTTTTGGAAAGAATTTAGTTGCTTAAAGAAAAACAGAACTAACTTCTGGTAGGCTCATGAGGCATTTAGGTATATTCAAATTTT